AAATTCAACACTCTCTTTATCTGGCTTTTTAAATATTACTAAAAATTAGAGGATGAAAAAGCAACACAGAATTTACTACCTGGAATAGTATGTGCTAGCATTTCAATAAACTCAGAAAGCAATGTCAGCTCTGGAGATTTCCTAATATGATCAATGAAGTGGGAAGTAAAGTTAATTCACTGAATTATTTCAAAACTGTGTACAGATGTGGTGGTACCTCTTCTATTGCTGACCAGAATTAAAAAAGGTGAAAGAACTGAAAAACTTTCATTTACTAAAAGAACAGAGCAACCAGCCTCAACATTTTGTAACACAGAGAGCTAACCTGTCTAACTTACCTGTCTAGATTTATACTACTGTTTTCTACTTTAATGGGAAAGATATCACATAAGATTAGCATCTGCCTACTTCCCCTGGTACTTAGAATATCTTTTTAATAAGTCTTGTTTATCTTTGTTATTGTAATTCTCTTATTCACCAGTAACTTTGTTGACAGAAGATGAAAATAGAGATGCTTTCATCTTTCTCACCCTATTTCAGAGCACTGTGATGACTAAAATAGCCCCTTTCCTCATTAGGTAGGGAAGAATTATAATCCCTACTGAACTGTTACAGAATCATTAAACAAGAGGAAGTGTCGAAGTTTAGGAATTGTTTAAAAGTGTGAAATACAGCAAGAAACTGAAGTTGAGACTGATTACTTGATACAAATGAACTAGTGAGCTAAGACAAATATTAGCACAATGTATCGAGGGCATGAAAGACTTCTGTATCCTGGAGAAGTACAGCAAAGGACTTATTCCAACAGACTTGCATTGCAGACACACAAACTAAGGCTGAATCTATTTTGCTTCATAATGTTCATACAATATGTTGTCATGATTATAATATTAGCTTGTGTTTTCATATACTGATTTCTTCCACGTGAAATGTAAGAATGAAATGGGGAGGTTGGTGGCCCTGCCTGTAGCAGGGGGGTTGGAGATCTGTGATCCTTGAGGTCCCCTCCAACCCTGGCCATTCTGTGATTGTGAAATATTTTAAAAATCTTTCCACAGAGAGGACAAGACAAATCATAGGTTTATGATTTCACTGACATAAACCTATTACACTTTTCTAATCAACTGAACAATAGACAAGCCATTTTCAGAAGCCTACCAAGTAAGTCACAAATGCATGGTGTGTTACCTATATATGAATTCATTCTGGCATGCTGATGAATGCAAGGGTTTATAAAAAGCTAAGTACAAGATTGGTGCCATTACTTTAAGAAAGTTTTCAAAATTTGACTTAAGAAAAAAAGCCTGAAACTTTTATTTGTTAGTGTCTAAGCCATTAAGCAGTAATTAACTTTGTATTTAAAAAAAAAAAAAAAAAAAAAAAAAAAAAGCTGTAGGAGGGATTTCATCCCCCAATACAAACACACTTTAAACTACAGGACACAAGTTCTTCTTTCATCAGTCTCCTGAGGGTCAGTAATATTAGGACCCGAGGAAACAGCCAGAAGTTATACCAGAGGAGGTTTAGGTTGGACAATAGGAGAAACTTTTTCTCTCAGAGGGTGGTCAGGCACCAGAATGGCTGCCCAGGGAGGTGGTGGAGTCGCCGTCCCTGGCAGTGTTCAAGAGGCGCCTGGATGAGGAGCTACGAAATATAGTTTAGTAGCTTGTGGTACTAATAGGAATGGGAGGGTGGTTGGATTAGATGATCTTGCAGGTCGTTTCCAACCTTGCGATTCTGTAAATACAAAGCACTGAAAATAAACTGGACAAAAAGAGGAAAATTGCATCAATACTTTTTTTTAAGCAAGTTTATTTTTGTTCACAAAAGGACTGAGTAAAATAATTACAAGATATACTACTTACAAAGCTCCTTTCTTTAACTTATTGCATAATAGATAGTTAACAGTCTTCCATGAAAGCTTAAAGTTTATAAGGACCAAATAGTTTTAGGAGTTTGAAAGAAAGGCAACATCCATTCAAAACAACTGAATTGCCATTTACATTTAAATAGTCAGCTAAAAATTCAAAATATATCAAAATTGTTCTGTTATTTTTCAGACACTCACATTTCCCTACAAACTGGAGGCGTTACTGAGAACAAGAGTTGCTGCAACATAACATCCCTCTATTGCTGTCAAAGCCATACTCTTTCAGAGGCAGAAAATGGGAATCAAAACTATTTAAAATTTTAAGTGAAACATGTTATTAACCTGCTGTTTTCAAGCAGATTCTTGAAGAGAACAGAGGCAGTGAAGATCTTGTGCATTAAAAAGGCTGTGCCTCAAAAATCTGCCCTCTAGGTATTTGATTCATGCTGTCCAGACTCCTGTTCACCTTTTACAGACAGGGAACAAAACAATTAGCTGCAGGAAAGGAAGCACATGCTGCAGCAGCCTAAGGCCAGCTAAGGGGTAATGCAAAGCCAAGGCTTTAGGTCCTGAGCCCTCTGACCACCAGGGACATCCAGCCTCAGGAACGCTTTGAGAAACACTTGTTTCAGTATCAATATCATGCAGTGATACATGAGAGAGTGTTCAATCTCCTGTATGTATGTGGCAAACTCAAATCCTTCCCAAAGACAGAACGCTGAGAGCCTGAAATAGTCTAGTCATGAGACTTCTGGCCCCTTGAGCACAGAATTGTTTTTTCAAGGTCAGTTTTCGGACCTTTATCGGATGAGGAGCTTTTTGTGCACATTCTGGGGCATCAGCTATTTATGCCCAAAGTACAGATACATTAGAGCACGCGGTGTAAGAAATATTGTTTATATCAAAACAGAGCAATGAATAATGAAGAAGCTGTTTCATTCCAGTTCCATGATTCAGTTATTACATGTATGCATTTCTTACACTGACTAGCATTCTGCACTTCTTGAAAACATATTGAGAGCTAGTATCACATTCTAAAGCTCAGTTAAGAGCATAAGTAATTCATAGAAAATTGAAATATGAAGGGTCACTATTAATTTTGGTACCACACAGCTGACTAAAAAAAAAAGAACAATATGTTATTATAAATGGCTACTGAGACTTGCTCCGATAACAAGAGAAAACACCTACATTTGAAAACAATTTTCTTTCAGTTTCTCTCTGTAGGCATTCTTTCTAATACCCATGCAGAATAAAAGAAAAGAAAGTTCTTTGGTGACCTACAGAAATGACGAGTGAGCTGATGGCAAGTAAGTTATTAAACAACAGCTATCTTCAAAAATAAATTTAAAAAAATGTATTTCAGGAGTTATGCTATCTGATGGAAAAACACTTTCATAGCATTTTTGTTCTCACTTTTCTGATAGCTAAATACGATACGATTTGTCAGCAAAGAATTTGGCCAACCTGCATATCTCTTTCTCATCAAGTTTCCATTTTCAATTCTTAAAGAGAATTATTGAAAGAAAACCTTTTTTTTGTGCTGAGTCATTCACCTGCACCAAAGTTTCCAGCAGTAGTCAAATGTTTCCTAATACAGAGTACAAGGAACAGTATCAGCCTTCGAGACAGATCTTGAGTTGTTTACACTATTAAGAACTAACACTACTTAAATTTTTTCTTTTTTTTTTTTTTAAACTTTTGAATCTGTTACTTTTTAGAAAAAGCAATTAGCCATACGCAATAGCTTATCTTTTTCTATTAAAATGTTTACTTGAGGTTGTGCTGATGAACTGAACAGGTACTAATTCAAAATTAGTGATTTAAACGATCTAAAGAGGTAAGGCAAGCTTAGCTTGTAGAGATGAAGAATAAGTGAACTTAGGAGTCAAAGATCCTCCTTTGAGACCTAACTGCTTCATTTTTAAGAGCTGTACAGTGTTGAATGAGCAGAGATGAAAATGAAAGGTCTTAAATATTCTGATTGCTTTAAAAACTTGCAATTCTATTCATAATATTTAAAAAATATATACGTTCAAGACTAAAAGGTGCAGGTTATTTGTTTTTAATACTGTGTTCCGAGACACTTGAAGGCAAAGAGGAAATCCAGCACAGAGTTCATACTGCAGTACTAACAATTGATGCACTATTTGTAAGGACTGCCATTTTTCATGTCAGTTAAGACAAAAAACATTACAAGTCTTATTTTGATTTTGGAAATCTTATAGCACTCCTACATTTTATTTTCAAATTATTTACATAATCTCTACTTGGGCTACGTGAATTAAAAATCATTTGGGCTAATCATTTAAAAAAAAATAAACACTAGCTGTGAAAGTTTTAGTTGTTTAGCCGTCTAAAGGATGGACTAGAACTATTTAAAAATTCTAGAACAATGCTCAAGCAAAGTACCCAAAAACAGGAATTACCAAATTCTGTCATTATTTTCAGCTCTGTTTATAAGAATAGCCATTAAAACACTCTCAATCTTCAGTAAAACTGCTTGGATAATAACAGAGTAGAATGTGCTTGCTGTTTTCCCTGTATGTTCAGAGAAAAGTGGTTTAATTTAAACTGCAAATGCTACTAAAAAGAGTCTACTTAATGTAATACAAATTAATATTTAAGAAATACTGTCAATCAGAAATCTGAACTTTCACCCAAAGATGTACTGAGATCATTAAGTCTAAACAAATGCATGCCTTGAATAATTTGGTAATAATAGGGCAGTCTGTACCATTTCTGTAAAACTGTTATTCTTTTCAGTATCACACAGAGGTGTGCATTGGAAGAACGATGTAGATTTAACAGAGGACAAAAACTACATGATACTATCATTTTGAAAACCAGCAACCTCTGCTTGCCTCAAATCTGCAGTCTTTTTTTTTTTTTACTGTAACCTTGAGAGTCTTTTGAAAACACAGCACAAAAGCTTTCAAAACTGCTAGCAGTCATTTCCATATGGCTCAATCTACGTCAGTTTACTCTGTCTCTTTACCTGACATCTCCACTCTATTCAGGGTTCATCAAACACAGGCACTCTTCTGATTAATGGCTAATTTATTATTTGCCTTGCAAATGTTTATCTGCAGGGAGATGAAGTAAATATACTACAGCTCTGACAAGCACCATGGCCACTCTTGCCCTGCCTGATGGAACGGTCAGTCGATGCTGTCCCTGAGGAGCCATGCCCTGCCTTAGGTTTCCCAGACAGTCCTCTGAAAGGTGAAGTATCTATTTTTAATGAGCTCAGTACAAAATCAATTAGCTGGTGGCTTAGAAAGGGAAATTCATAATCACATGTATCTGTTTTTTCATTAGATCCATAAAAAATAAACTTACGTTAATCACAAGCATTGCCATTATTTATTTATTTATTTATTTTTTGCAGGCTGGACAACCACTGCTTACAAATAAAAGGTATGAAAAAGCTGGTATCATTGTATCCATCTTTCACATCAGTCATTGACCTGAAAAGTGCTACAGCATTGAGAGAAGAAAAAAATAGAAAGTACTCAGGGTAAACAGGTAAACACAAAATTAGAAAGAATGGAAGAAGACAAGAGTCTGATGTAATTCTCTAATGTCACTCAGTTTGGAGAAAGCCACCCTTATATGTCATACTATTATCTCTCTACTGCATTAGGCAATTTATCCTAAAGTAGAATTTGTTACAAATTTTTTTCTTGTCCCTGGAATCACATAGATTTCTAATCATAAATCCTATTTGTGAAGATTCTTCTAAATACACCAATGTAACCTCATCTTGGGGGTGAGCAGAGGGATATTAGAGATTTGAAAAAAAATACAAATTAACTTGCACTCACAGTAGCATCATTAAATAATGCTTAAGCATAACGAGTAATCAAGAAAAATTGAGGTAACAAGTAATATAAACATGAAAAAGACTTATTGTATTGGGAAAATGCAAATTACATCTCCTTTACTGCGCATGAAATAAGTTATTCAGAATTAGTTATTTGTCAGACAACGTTGTCAATACAGCAGGAAGAAACTTTAAAAATCTTACTATTTTATTATGTTGGTCTGTGACATGAGAGGCAGATGTTGGTGGTATGGCAGTAGATGTTGAACCTTCTTACTGTATTCCATTGCAAAAAAGGTACCTGACATTCTCTGACATTTGCTGAACGTTTATGAAGACCAAACAGTAAATGAGAGCACAGTAAGGCGGTGGGTGGTGCATTTTGGCAGTAACAACAGTGACACTTGATCAACTCTGCTGGTACAGATTTTTACAAGTGCAGCATGCATAATCTTTCATTAGTTTTTTTACTGAAACATAAAAAAAGAGCAGCAACAAAACATAAAAAGAGTAGGATATTTAATCTTGTTTCTGTGAAACTAGTGCATCAGTCTAGTTTGATGGCAGTAGCTGTAATTCTTAATGACCTCAGAAATTTTATTTTTCATGAGCTACGTCCTTGAAAATAGTTCTTTACAAATCTACATACTGCCAAAAAGAAATGACATGAGAAAGGCACACCTAATGCAATGGAAAGTGCAGCAGCGACAACACAGCAGCAAGGTCCTATGCTGCAGTAAGGATCTGCTCAAACGCAACAGCATTAGGCACAGAAATAAAGGAAAGAAGCTGCTTGCCTCAGGGAGATCTCAGGTATACAGGGATCTCCAGATGAGATACCCTCACTTCCACTGCCAGCCTTAAATGGGGTCTGGGAAGAGGTGGATCCTGGCTCCACCCCTTCGGGTAACTCAACTGCACTGCTTGCACATGAGCTCCCATGGGTTGGCCCTGCCTTCCCACCAGGTGCTCAATCTCTGGTTCAAGCTGTGTCTGAGCATTTCTACTACAGCATGTTTGCGAAGAGAAGGAGGAAGTAAAATTCTGAGATAAATTTAAGTGTACTGTCAAAACAGTAACTGAGGTTTCAGGAATGTACATCTGAAATACCCTTTGAAATGTTCCCTCAACAGAGAACTTCTGGGAGGAATCGCAAGAAACAAATCAGTAAAGAGAATGCAGTTGATTGGAGATAAGTCAGATGTGTTTTTCACTGTAAGTATAACACTTTGGTCTAAATATAAGATATTCCTCTGCTCTCTTTTTTTCTGAAGTCTTTCTCTGAGCTCAACTTTGAGAGGCCACAGAAAATAACAGCAATTAGTATAACACAGAACTGTGTTCCTAAGTCCCCAACATGCATATAAAAAGCTTTACATGTGATTTCATAGGAGCAGGAAAGTCTTTTGCATAATGACCTACATGTATTATAAGATATTAATTCATGAGAAACATTTACATAGACTTAGTGTATTTTATCTGTGAAGCATAAAATAATGCTTTAAGGATCTAAAGTTTACTTTAGTCTGTGTAATCTGGACTGGCAGGTTAAATATGTTAATGCAAACACAAATTACCCTCGAAGTTTGCTATGTGACTATCTGTTGGGATAGTATTTAGGAAGATTTCCAGCAGAGGATTCCTAAAGGAATTGAGTATGCACTTTGAGAGGCTTTTTAATTTACAAATTTGGTGGTAATCTACACAGTTTTTCTGCATAACTTCAAAATGGTCTTTTATTTTCAGAGAGTTGCCTGAAAATACAGTTTCTTGAAGCTTAATTCCCAATTAAATTACTACTGACTTCTAGCAACAGTTAATAACTACCCCAGGGTTAATTTCTATGTGGGTTGAGGAATACCCAGTACAGTTTATGTCACTGTCTGAGATGGGACACTCTGGTCTTGTTATTCAGACATCATATATATAACTAGTCCTGACAACTGCCGATTATATCTTTTTTAAAGTGCTGCTGCCTTTTTTTGTTTGCCAGTTATCCTCTGGTGTATATGCCAATGCAGACAATGTCCCATGACTGTAATTGTCACTCAGCTGTCTGTCAGTGATGAGAAGAAAAGGGTGACAGCCTTGACATCCCACCAATCATTCCTCTGGAAAATTGATATCGTCCTCCCCAGTAAACAACAGCTAAATAATCGACCAGCCTTGCCAGCACATCCCTGAACAATCAGCTTCCATTAAGGGCAGAAGCCACACATTTATCCCACCGTACTCCAATCAATAGTACACTGACTTGTTCTATGTTCAAGCATGCCACTGCTCAAGGTCTGCATTTAGCAAAGGCTACCTTTCAAGTCTTTCAAACTTAAATGTACAGTGGAGCTTTTGGGGGTAAGTAAAGTCCTCTACTTTCATGTAAAATATCTTTTTCTTGCTAATTTGGCATACTTAAATTTCCAGGAAATCTAGCAGATTTATTTTCTTGATTAATTTTTACTTTCTTTAGCAGTAAACTAAAATCTACAAAAATAATTAAAAAAATAATAATAATTGAAAAGCATTGGTTTATCAGTTGCAGGGTTGCAGTTACACATATATACATGTTTTAGAGGAAATTTACACTTGTAGTATAAAAACTGACCTTATTTAAAATGATCTTCTGTGTAGTTACATACTGAAAATATTGTCTGGCAATCAGAACAGTTTGTTACATGTGAGGTCCACAGTTGTTTATACATCAGTTAGTAACTTACAAACTTAAGTTACATTAGACAGTTAGATTGGTAATGCAATAAAATCACTGCAAGGTGGTACACACAATCTTTCAAGTTAAGCAAACTAGTTATTTACATGAGTATAGAATTTGTCTCTGCAGGAAAAGCAAAACATGGGCCAGCAGGCTCACTTCACAACTTGAAAGAAAAAACATCAGAAGTGCTGCAAATCTGTAATTGCCATTGCACATTAGTACTTCACTCTGTTACTTGACATGAGGTGCTAAGTCAGCAGCTGCTGCTGTTATCACTCAAACATATCTTCTGTAGATTATTTAGAAACCAACCTTTACAGCACCAAATCTCCTACACAGATCACAGGAGGCATGGCTACTCATTGACTTAACATTTTTAATGTTAGAGGCTTTCTATTTCAAATTTTGTATCCTGACCCTCACTTGTAACCTTGAGGCTCTTAATCAGCAAACACCCCAGTGACACTGTGGCAATGCCTCTCTGACTGTTTCGAGTGCTCTTCTGCTTGCAGCCTTATGCTGATGGGTACAAACTACTGCTGTAGTAGTTTCTTGTAGCAAACGGTTTGCTAATCCCTGAATCACTCTCTGCCTCACAGCTTCCAACCTATAAGCCCAGGATAAGATCTCCTTCCTTCCCTTTCTGTATTATAGCTTAGAACTTCAGCACTCTACAGATAACACAACAGAAGTCAATCAAATACAAATCCAGTGGGCAGGTTCCTATAATATTCATGCACACAAAGCTTGGCCACCAACCAATTTGCAAGACTTGTACCTGATCACACATGGTTTCACAAGTGCGTACTGTACTGTAAACAAGAACATGTAGTCAGAAGTTTGGCCAGGCCCTGATAATACTATCTTCTATAGCAGAAGTGTTTGGACTGCATGGAAGAGAACACTTTCAGGAATACTCTTCATTTTTCTTTCCAGCTGACTACTAACAACAGGTCTTTTGTCCCTTTCAGTCCTCTTTTCTCCTTGTTTCTGTTTTCCAGCTAATGTAACTTTGAAGCTGATGCATGCCATCAGCTATGGGACCCACTAATAAAGCTTTGTGCATGTAAGTGTACCTGAACAGTTTGTGCAACATCAACTACTGACAGCTAGATAGACAACTGTTAGTAACCAGTACAGAAATTGCATTTTCTCTAAACACAAGTAGTAGATTTTGAACTTCCAAATTATCACCGCGATTACATCAACATGCATCTTGATATACTACAAAACTACAATGATTTTTGAGATGGGAGTTATTATTTGTAGAGTTAAGCCCCTCTGCCATTACTTGGACTTGGAAATAAATAAAATATAAATAAAGTTCATAAAATTCTTAAGTTTAGTTTATAAGGAAAAATTAAGGATTACCATAACAGGTTTCATTTGTTTGGGGATGTAGGCACTACTGCTGTAATGCATAAATCATTAGGAAATTCACTGTCCCCTTCACTTTGTTAAATGGACATAATACCTTAATGGGAATGTTTGGAAGCATCCATGGGCAGATCAAATTGGCACTTATAACACTTTTTCCAGCCTGTACACTAAGTTCATTAACTTCTCTCATTTGAATTACAAATTTCATTTCTCAGATCAAGACGAGGACATGGCTCTCATTTACAAGCTCAGATTCTTTGCTGTGTTAATGTTTTACAGGAAACGATAAAGTTAATGCAGTGGAGAGACATCATGCCATCCCTGTTGGTATACAATTATAGACAAGGTCCCAGATTCCAATAATCCTGATGGGAGACAGACAGGAACTTCCATAAAAGAATGAGAAAATTATTAAGTAGAGAGGCCAAAAGGCTAATCGACCCTCTTAGAAACATATTCATGCTTGTCACAACAAGAACATACCCTACAAAACCAAAATGTGTTATTTAATATAATCTAATTTAATGAGCAAACACAGCCATATTCTCATTCACACTTATCATTAAATTGCTAATTAAAACCTTTTAGAAAGGTTTAAGGTTTAAATGAAACACTTCTTTAATTTTATGGTACTGTACTTAGGAGAGTTGATAAAGCTTTAGAAAAGAATTACATTCTGCAAAAGCTTCCTTCTAAAACTATGAGTACTTATAAAATGCAAGGTTATGCACTGAAGAATGGCACAAATCGCCAGCACAGTTTTCTCATGAAAGTTTAAAACAGCATTTTCAGAACATGCTAACAACACAGGTAAGAATCGAGATCTGCAAACCTGACTCTTCTGCACCTTGAATTTAGTTAATAAAGAAATAAGCCTGAGAAAATGCCACATATGGAACCATTCGTAAATTTAAGAATTACTAGAAGAACAGGTATCAAAATCTGGCTTAAGAGTCTGTTAGCGAAATAGAAATAGTGACTGAAGTGATATTCATGCATATAACTTGGAGCTACTTTTTCATTATGGGTTTGCCATCAGAAGTAGCAAATATATAATCCCACTAAATTCCAGAATTTATTTTTCATTACAGTAAACACTTTTTTTTTTTAAGTCCATGTCATAAAAAGATGGGGTTCAGTTATACTATATTAATTGTTGCTGAAGCAGTATCTTTCTGAGATTATTTTGCCAATTTTAGTCTAGATACTTTCAACACTGCCACCAAGTCTACAATTCCATAATTGAACTTCCCTACAGTATGCATTTGCTCCAATATCAGCATGGACACAAAATCTGACCTCTGCTAACTCCACCACAGCATACAACATGAACTCTTTGCTGGCCATATGCTTTCATGCCAATTTTGGGAAGGCTGACAACATGGCACAATGCCTGGTTGCTGTCACGTTCACCTATCAAAAATGTTCAGTTAAATCTGAATTAGCAGCATAAATTTATAACAAATCTGCACTTTCCTGTCACAAAGCATCAGTTTTAGAGCCAGCAAGAGGAACCCTAGAGTTACAGTGCTGGTTGTAACTCACTCCTCTTTGGTGCCTTGTGCATTCAAAAAGCGTATACATAACCCCTTTCCCTGAACAATGATGAAGAAGCTGTCAGTGTCTTCATCTGAGGCTCAGTCTGTGTTGAGGGCAGGTAGGAAGAGGGTTCTTTTCACATGCATAAGAGACCTGTCACAACCCAGTTCAGTGTGAGTAACTACCAAATTCTCTATATAGCAGCATCAAGAATGGCTGATTTGTTGAGGAAAATCTCACTTGTCTGCTCTCTCAGACCATTTTTTTCATAATAATGGATATTAGTTTTAATTTCAAAGTAGCTAGTATGGCTCAATTTACAGTCAAAGCAACACGTAGTTAAGATCTTTTCCTGTTGTGACTAATAAGCTTTTGTTCCCTTAGCACGGGTGCAGAGAAGGCTGTGGGGAGAGACAGAAGAAGAGGCAAGTGTCAGTGGAAATTAATGTGCATGATACTGTGCACAGTTCAAAAATAAGTATTTCTGTAGGAATTTATGACCTTTGACAACTTATTAGAGATGGCATTATAAAAAGCCCATTGTAAGGTATTCTATTGCAATAAGTCATTCTTCTATTACAGTTTCTGGCTTTGGACTGTTTGTTTTTGTTTTCTTTTTATATTGTTGGATTAGTAAGAGATGAAAATCCTCTGTCCAAGACCTGGTTTTATTATATTTCTGCCTAGTAAGAATGGTCAATTCCCAGTCACATAATATTCATGGATGTTTGACTTCTAATGTGGTGCTTCATTTGCAGGTCCTTCATTTTCAGAGAGTAGGTTTTAAGACAGAGGAAATTTGTAAATGCCTTAAAAACAAGATATAAACATATATAACAAGAAAAAGGGGAATGAGAAGGCTAAGGATTAAAAAAAAGAATATACTCCCGATGTTTGAGTAGCTATACACCAATACCATTCCCTTATGTTTTACTACCTTTCTGTAGCTATGCGTAGAAGTCTATGTGTAGAAGAAATATAGAAGTCTCTTATTTTTCATCCTTCATGATAAAACACAGATTATATCAAGCATTTTTTCTATACAACGTAGAAAAATTGATGCAAAAAAGGAAAAACAACATGCATTCACCAAGAATATTCTACTTTCATTTTCTATCTAAAAAATCAATTTCAAGAAAATTTACAACAAAAATAATGAGTGAAACAATGTAGAATAGATACAAGATTATTTTCAGAAATGAAAGCATATTTTGTTATTCTCAGAATAAAAAAAAACTGGTTATCATCTTTAATTGAAAAATAAAGATTACTGCACATCAGAAACAATACTCTCCTAAATGTTTGTAGATTGTTTTTTTGTTGTTGCGTTTTTAATCTGCATAGGTTTTTGATACTGTTGTTTCTAGCTCCCCATGAAAAGGCTCAGTAATAAATCTCTCAAGTAATTAGTAGTTAAGCAGGAAAAAATTACAAAGAAAAAAACTCATGACAGAATGCCACCTACACAATAATTGGTCCCAACAAATAAAACTCATTTACACATCTGTTTTTGGCAGGCAACTGAGGCACTCTTCAGTGTGGCATTAGTACCTGTTTTTGTAAAAAATCTGCTGATAATTTTCTGTTATATTTGGTCAAGGTCTGATCATTACCCCCAGAAGTGTTCTGCTCTGGAGCAGCCTTTGAATACAGGTAGTGGGCCAGAAAATGTCACTACATTTAAGATAATGATTTATCTTTTCATGAATAGAATTAATGACTATCTGTGAGAAACCAAGCTCCAGTACATCTGAAAAGGCTTACTCTAACTATTCTAACACTACTAATCTCATTAAACCTCTGTACATTGTCTTTAGTGGCAAAAGAGTCAGACAAAACATCAGATACTTTCTTTTACAGTAGTGAAATGAGTAATACATAGGTAGTTCAAGGCTATTAGTTGCACGATCACAGGAGCCAAGAACCAAACTTCCTAGCTAGAGAGCAACATGTATATACTGACAATGAAACAAAGGATACTTTCTCTGACTATAACTCTAGGCTGTAGCTACTTGTGTGTATTCTGTAAGCATAGATTCCAAGAATTTCCAGGTGAGACTCCTCCTTCCAGAGGAAATGTTCTAAATGCATCAAGGGTAGAACTTTCAAGAAATTACAGAAGAGAACACATTTTCAAAAATGGTAAGTGAATGCTCATTTTAGGTATTTATCACTGTAACACAATGGTAAGTGCAACAACAACAGAAAAGCAGCAAGAACCAGGCTGCAGCAAGTGAGGATTTGCTTGAATGCAACAGCAGCGGGCACAGAAAAATGGGAAAGAAACTACATAATTTCAGAGGGCCCCAGGTATGCAGAAATCTCCAGAGAGATACTCTCGTCTCCTCTGCCAACTCTTAATTGAGGTCTGGTAAGAGGTGAATCCTGGCTTATTAATAGTTTATTAATAATGCAAAACAATATAAATACAAACACACAATTGACAGAGAAAGGTATCATAGTTAATTTACCAAGTATTTTAAGCTTACAAATGCAGTCTCGTAAAGAAAATTCATGGTTCACCTTCCTCTTGATCTCAATTAACATATCACAAGTATCCAATGATTTAGGAAAATTTTGACTCCTGAAACATTCCCTTCTTCTCTCCAGAATGAGCTCATTGCACGACATCTGGTTTCTCGTCGAGTTCTGGCCTATACTATTTTGAAATCAAAGTACTTTGCTGTATTATTACTGTGTACTTCAACACGAGGCAGTAGCAAGAAGCTCATATGCTTTCACTTTTTGGGACCACTTGTTGCATAGTTGAGATTCTTCCGTGAATTCTTCACAGTTTGCTAACTTAACTTCTAGTTACTTTAGAGTTTTATTACTGCCTATCCTTCCAGCAAATCCCAGAGAATAAAATTTACTCTGAAGAACATAGCAAATTGTCTTGAACTCAAGGTACAAAAACAGAACTTGGGAATTAAATTACACACACAAATAAAAGAGAAATGTGTATATATACACACAAATTCATATTTGCTCTTCGTATAAAAAAACAAACACACAACAAAGAGAATCACAAGGTTTGCAAGTACAGTACAATACTACCCTCCACTCTTTAGGCTCCCATAAACTCCCTCTACCTAAGACTCATGGTCTCCAGGTAGTAGCCTACTAATTCAGGCATTCAATGTCATACTGTATGGAACCTCCACAATATTTCCCATTAGAAAATATGTTGGACTCACGTAGAATTAGGCAATATCTACTTCTTAAGACAGAAGTCTATGATGTGCCTGGCTTTTTACTTGACTTCCCTTATTCCTATCACCTCTATTCTCTCTTCTCCAACCATCTCACCTCAAAAATTAAAGAGTAGGTGGCAGATTAATAAAACAATACACTGTTCAGGACACTGCTGTAAGTTATTTGCTTCTGATGCTGCATGCATGAACCATCACTGCTTGACAAATCACTGAGAAAAATGGGATCTGACAAACAGCTCTTCTTTCAGCAGATGCCTACTATGACAGCATCAATAGAAAAACACATCATTGGTTCTAAAATGCCACATTTTTATCATTTACACTGAATAAGACATGAAACTCTTTAAGGGAAGCGGCACTATGTTATCATTAGGGCCTGTTGACACTATGCAGGGTGTGCTTTGAACTCAATTCTGTCATCACTCTTAATCTGCACCTAAATGCATTCCACTCTAAATAGAGGGAAGGGCTGTCTGCATGTTGACAACAGTGCCAGTGATGAAGTATTGCACTCTTTAAAACCTCATTTACAGATTGTTTCATTACCACCCACAACTGGCTTGGATCCGTGAGGGAACACACCTGCTCTCATTAGGCCCACGTGATGTCTGCCAATAACAGTATTTCCATGAAGATGAATGTCCTGGAAACTATCTTTATCTCCCTGCTGATGGACTTTACTGCCTCCTCCCTCTTTGGGGAGGTAAGGCATAGGCAATCTGCTGATTACTTCTTGAGTTACTGATCTGTTCTGATGACTGTTTCATAGTTACGGACTTCCAGTGTACTCACAGCGACTCTCTTCCATTAGGTAGCCTATGTAATCTTCCTCTAATGTTTATTATTTCTGACTGCAGATTAATTCCTTACACTAAGTAGTCTTCAAAAAGCTAACTGAACACTAAGCTAGAGGTATTTGCATACAGAACAATTCTGTTCACTATTGAGTTTTTCCATATTTAGCATTATGAATCCATAATATCAAAACAGAAACTATTGTTACTGTTATGTATAGCATATAGAATACGTGTTGAATGTGCATTAGTAACTGTAAATAAACTCAGCACAATGTTACTAAGTTTACTGACATTATGCACATCCAAATGTTCTGGTCAAACCATACATAACTTTACAGAGCAGCTACCATACCTACTACTGAGGTAGTAGATGGATAGAATTTAAAATATCTTGATTTTCCTGTTCCAGTAGAATTCAAATAAATATTTCATCATAACAGATCTCCTGGTCTGAAGTGTTTACTCAAGTACTAGTTATAGAGAACTTCACTTGGTCTCAGCCTGGTATGATGTAATACTTAGCAATAGGAACAAAGTGTTACAGAAAATTATGAAGTTATTTTTCACTGACAAACTGCAAGTAAGCGTAATAAAGTATGCTTGTTCATAATTTGTGGACAAGCTTTAGAATCCCATTTTAAAAGTACAAATAAATTAAGAAATTAAATAAAAAATAAGACTCTTTCAATCTAAAACCAAGTCAGATTTAGTTTACTAACCATACACTCCCAGAACCTTACTTTTATGACACATATCACATAAAAGGATCTCGAAAAGATGACACACCTTATCAAAAGCCTTTTAATTAACAAGATACTATGAGTGTAGATACAAACATCTAGAAACGCAGACACTGCCAGCCTAACAACTCCATAACTAAAATCTCACCAGCTGCAAATCCATAGCGTGCTGTTCTAATTACATGTTAAACTTTTCATTTTGATTTGCGCACATATCGTGTCTCATATATAAATACTGAACTTACAAAATCAACCTGAATGCCATCACTTACAAACTGGATTTCAATTTCTCCTTATGTATCTATAAGATCGCAGTTATGTGTGCATGCATACAACAGCAATTTAAAACTTTTGGTCTGTATTATACTTTATACTCTTTGGAAAAAGCAAGTGTATAATCAATGAATATACAGATGTTATTAAGAAATATATAGGAAAGTTAGGCTAAACAGGTTATCATACCAAAGAAGAATGGATTGAAAGCTTACCCTTATCCTGGGCTTGCTGAGAAGACTCCAAAAGAAGCAATCGCCAAAAAGAGAACCTTCTCTACTAGTAGTCAGCTCTTAAATAGGTCTAGGAGAGGTGGAACCAGACTCCACCCCTTCCAGTAGCACAGGTGAATTGCCTTCATCTGTGCTCCCAGGGCGGACTCATTGCTTGCCTCAGGTGATCAATCAGAGGTTCAGGCTGTGATTCAGCAGTTCCCATACAGAAAGTATAGCACAAACGTTAAGCACCTGAATGATAATCCTTACTTTCTTGAAATAATATAGTCTCCTTATGCATTACCTTGAATATTTGAAAGAATGTATTTGTTATTTCAAGGGGCTTATTCTGGTTGCTATCAATCTACCAGGCATCAAGGTACACTGAAGAAAACGTTATTAAATCTAAACAGGAGTATCTACATAGCTAAAATTGCTTTTAAAACTGTTTTAAGTTAAATCAATAAAACTTGCCTATTTATGTAAGGCCTCTATAGGTCCCTACACAGCAATATCCACAATAGTGAAAAGACATAAAAGACATAATAGTAAAGAATCAAAATTAAGCATATCAACTTCTTTGGCACTTTGAGTTTAACATTCTTCAAGTGTTAGTTAATACTTAATGAGGTTTATTCCCACCTACAAGCTTAAATTATTAAATAAAAATACCTGCCCTTAAGTTTTTGATTAAACTGCCTATGAAAGCTGAAAATCCTCACATCATTAGATCACATGCAGGTTTCCTCAGAGTTCACCCCATCAGTTACATGAAAACTAGAAAGAAACCTTGCTTTTCTCCAGCTTAAAAACAGATAGCTCCTTATTAAATTCACCTGCATCAGCAAGCGGTGATATATTAAAGTATATATAATTGAGTTATTATCAATATCAGCTTATACATAAGTAGGCACCAGTTTCCTAACAGCAACATAGTCTATAGCTTGCAATACAGAACTAAGTCTCTCAGGTGTGAGTGGCAGAGAGGGGGGAAAAAGCTGAATGAAAAATCTGTCTCTTCAGTTTCCTCTCACTCATAAGTAAACTTGCAGCCACACCACAAAATGACTAATGTCTCTCTACTTTAACCAGCTCAGCCCTTTGATATGTCAATACACTTTACTGGTCACAGCCTGTTCTACAATGAAACAGAAAGGTAAGAGTGAGTCAACACATTATTTATGATACAGTGCTGTAATAGAGAATGACAGCTCAGAAAGAGGTGCTGCTAAACACACAAATATATGACATGTATTTCAGATGTTAGATGTTTCCAACATCTGTTCTCTTCAAAATGCAAATGGCTTGTCAACAAACTCTTTTAAAGCCTTGTCTGTAAAGTTTACATGACCTTTAAACTGTGAAGAGCTTCTGAAAAAGTTAAATTTTCACATGGGGAAACATTCCTGCTTTTTAATTAGTTCTCAGTCAAGACACACAATACTGACATTATGTCCAGAATTCACCTTCCACTAAATGCAAGTGAACATTATAAGTGAAGACAGTTTACAACAATGTCATCCTACTTTATCAGTCCATATCACAATAACCACTTTCAATGTAAACTTATGCTGTGATATTTAAACAAAAACAATTCACAATAAATAATAATACAGCAGGTAGTTTTGTGGACATTCACTGAAACTATCTAACTATATGGAGTTTTAAAATGATTTTGTTTTTATTAAAAAAAAAAATATACAGAATCACAGAATCACCACCAAGGTTGGAAAAGACCTACGAGATCATCCAGTCCAACCATCCACCTATCACCAGTAGTTCTCACTAAACTGTATCCCTCAACACAAAATCCAAACGTTCCTTGAACACCTCCAGGGTCGGTGACTCCACCACCTCCATGGGAAGGAGGAATACAAATTCTCCCCATTCAAATTATTTTTTTTAAGTCTATAAAGCCACCAGAATATAAGATGATGTGTTAGAACTGAATAAGTCTTACTACTATCTGATTCCAACAGGGGGTGATTTTGCAAAAATGTTCTACACATACATAAAAAGTCCTTTAATTTGGTATTATTGGTAACATACACATAGCAAAAAAGCAATATTACTAAAAAAAAAAAAAAAATAGGTCAAAATAGGGCTTTCTCCCACAAAGTATTCATGTTTGTGGTTCAGAAGGAGAAAAAAAAAAAAAAAAAAAAGAGAATTTTCTCAGGTAGCAAGTCCTATGAGGCTTTCACACACCAGACTCTCCCAGTGCCACCATGGCTACTACAAAGCATGATAGATGAGTCAGCATTCACTTCTTTCTACATGGCACTAAGCAAATATCAACTACATGCAAGACTTAAAAAAAAACAAACAGCACAAAAAACATTAAAACACAATGGTCTGAAAAGTAGAAAATGAAAAGTTCCTTACTATCTTTGTCTTCATGTAAAATTTTGTTACATGAGAAAGCTGTAGTAAATATATTAAAGGTACTACTGAAATACAAGCAAAGTCTCTCATAAGTATCAAGGTACTTATTTGTGAAGTGGTATCTTCTCAGACCTGCTGGAAAAATCATGTGATCTATTTAGAGAAAATCCTTTGCTTTCTGGATGCAGTATCATATTGTCTTATATGCAACTGCAAGGCATGCATCCTGAGAGAATAGAATAGCCCAAGCATAAAGCAGAAGGAAGTCAATGAACTTGACTCGAGCTGTGAGTCTGACTATCTACTTGCACTCTTAAGATAGCTGAGTTTCTACAGTCACTTGCTGAGATGGCACAACTGGCACCTACTTTACCTGCTGCCTACAAGATTATTCTAAAGGCAACCTAGTGCAGCCAAGCAATGGGCCATATACACTCTTCCTATTTTGAATGCACAAATAGGAAACAACAGTTTACAGATCACAGAAGAATGACTTGAGTTGGAAGACATCTTAAAAATCATCTAATTCCAACTTCCCTGCCACGGGTGGGGTTGCCATTCACTAGATCAGGCTGCCAAGATCCAATATCAGGCACCATCCAACCTGGCCATGAACACCTCCAAGGATGGGCACCCACAATCTCTCTGGGCAACCTGCTCCAATGCCTCCCCACCCTCTGAGTAAATAATTTACTTCAAACATTTAACCTAAATCTCGTCTCTTATAGTTTAAAACCATTCATTCTCCTATCACTGTCTGCCCATGTAGAAATTCCATTTCCTTCCTGTTTATAGGCCCCATTTAAGCTGAAAGGTAGTAATGAGGCTTCCCCAGAGCCTTCTCTTCTCCAGGGTGAACAAGACCAACTCGCTCTCAGTCTTTCTTCAGAGGAGTGCTGCTCAGATAATCTCTGTGAGCCTCCTCTGGACCCACTCCAAGAGCTCTGTCTTTCCTGTGCTGAGGGCTCCACAACTGGACATGGTACTATAGATGTACCTCATGAGGGCAGGGCAGTGAAGGTAATCTAAATCTACTCTCTTTTAGTTTAAAACCTTATGTTACCAATACACACCCGATAAAGAGTCTCTCCCTGTCTTTCTTGCAGAGCTTTCTTTAGGTACTGGAAGGCTATTTGGATCGGAAGGAACTTAAAGATAATCTAGTTCCAACCTAGCATGGGCAGAGTTGCCACCCACTAGATCAGGCTGACGAGGGTCCCATCCAATCTGGTCTTGAAACCCCCGGAGATGGGGCATCCAAAGCTTCTCTAGGCAACCTACTCCAGAGCCTCACCACCCTAAAAACACAGTCTTGTTCTTCTTCTTTCTCTTCTGGTAGGCTTTATCCTATACAGTAGATTGCAGAGCAGTTTTTCTTTTCACATTCCACTTCTTTCCATGAAGCACACTAGAACAACAACATTACTCAGCTCTCTACATTTAAAACTAGATACTTTTGAAAGCTTGAGGGCTTTTGCACCCAATTTCCATTTTGAAATTGGGTATTCTCCATATTTCTCCCTCAGCTGTTCTAAAAGTCCCGCCTCAAGACTGCTGTGTGCTAATTCTAATTACTTTTTTGGCAGCAGATGAAGCAATTTTAGTCATCAGATTATAAAGAGAATCTAAGAGAAGTAAAACAGACAGTCTCATTCACTCTTTTGCCCTTTGCAAGTCACAAAATCTTCAATCATTTATATGTCTTGCACTTGCCGCTTTTGTGAAATATAAACAGATGGGTTCCAAATGATTTTTCACAGAAATGGGACTTTCATTTTCCAAACTGAGTACTTGCAATATATTCTTTAGAATGCTGCTCCTGAGGG